GAGAATGGCGTGAACCCGGGAGGCGGAGCTTGCAGTGAGCTGAGATCTGGCCACTGCACTCCAGCCTGGGCTACAGAGCGAGACTCCGTCTCAAAAAAAAAGGCACAGGTTGAGCAACCCAAATCAAAAAATCACAAATCTGAAGTGTTCCAAAACCCAAACTTTTAGACTCAACATGATGTTCAAAGGAAATGCTCATTGGAGCTTTGTGGATTTCAGATTTTTCAAATTAGCGATGCTCAACCGGTAAGGATAATGCAGATCATCCAAAATCCCCCCGAAAATTCCAAAATCCAAAACACTTCTGCTCCCAAACATTTCAGATAAGGTATCCTTACTCTGCATGAGGGCAAGATTTATGGTGAATAAATAACTTCTTCAGGAACACAACAGACTGGCACCGTTGCCTTTTTATGTTAATTAGGTTTAATAGTGCTATAAACCTTGGATCCAATATACTCAATACTACTACCTTAACTACATGAGCCAAGTCTTAGTCTAAAGATCCCGTGAAGTGGGAGGGTTTTCAAAGTCGCTAGAAGTGGTTGTGTTGTACCACCAAAACTCACCAAACATAATATAGTACTGCGATTTTCCATTCAGGTTCTTCTGGTCAACATCTGCAGGAAAGACCTTAATGTAGCCCCCTCCACAGTCCATCTTCTGCTCATGTTTTACTGTGTACTGAATGACCAGAGTTTTTCCTTTATTGCTGAATGGTTTGAAGCGTGCAGAGATGGCATAGAATCGGCCATTCTGAGTGGTCTGCAGACCTTTGAACAAAAAATACTCATGAAGGTTTGGGAATGATGCTGTGCTCAGTAATGCAGAAAGTTAAATGGATGTCCTTCACTTACTCCCAACCACAAATGTCCCAACCGTTTACAGTGATCCACAGTGCCAACAGAGCATTATACAATAATGCATAATGAGTATACCACTAGCAGGCACTCTGCTTCCATACAACTTTTTTTTTTTTTTTTTTAGATGGAGTCTCGCTGTGTCACCGAGACTGGAGTGCAATGGCGCGATCTTGGCGCACTGCAACCTCTGCCTCCCTGGTTGAAGTGATTCTCTTGCCTCAGCCTACTGAGTAGTTGGGATTACAGGCATCTGCCACCACATCTGGCTAATTTTTATATTTCTAGTAGAGACAGGGTTTCACCATGTTGGTCAGGCTGGTCTCGAACTCCTGACCTCAGGTGATTGCCCGCTTCGACCTCCCAAAGTGCTGGGATTACAGGTGTGAGCCACCGTGCCTGGCCCATACAACTTTTATTTCACACACCTGTAAGTTTTTGTTCTTAATATACTACTGTTATTTATTTATTTATTTATTTATTTATTTATTTATGTATTTATGTATTGAGACAGGGTCTCGCCCTGTCACCCAGGCTGGAGTGCAGTGGCGCAATCTCGGCTTACTGCAAGCTCCGCCTCCTGGGTTCAAGTCATTCTCCTGGTTCAGCCTCCCGAGTAGCTGGGATTACAGGCGCCCGCCACCATACCTGGCTAATTTCTTGTATTTTTAGTAGAGACAGGGTTTCACCATGTTAGTCAGGATGGTCTCGATCTCCTGACCTCGTGATCCACCCACCTTGGCCTCCCAAAGTGCTGGGATTACAGGTGTGAGCCACCACGCCTGGCTATTTATTTTTTAGACAGAGTCTCATTCTGTTACCCAAGCTGGAGTGCAGTGGCGCAATCTTGGCTTACTGCAACCT